GACAGATATGAAAATGTGTTATTAAAGCATATCATTACTCAGCCATCCCTTCATGTTAGGGCACCCAAGGTTGGCTCAGTACCTCAGACTCGTAATATGTCGAAATGAGACTTACCTTCACGATTGCTGACCGTGCAGTTTGTGGGACTTTGTGCCTGTGTGCACACACAAAAACTCCACCATTGGCTTACTAAGCTTCTTGGGTAATCTCCTTGAAGGCTTATTTTGTTGAAAAACAAAGGGTAGACGGAAGCTGTTTGTTTAGCGTATAGTTGCTGGGTCTTTTATCAAACTGAATAGTTTGACGGCTCCACTGTTACGTCAAACGTTAATCATGCACACTTCTGGATCAAACCCAAAAAATGACTGAGTAACTACTTATTACACCTACAAAAGGTCACAATAACCTTATCAATCACATGCTATTGTTTATATAGACAGTTACAGTTTTATAAACTCTGGCTTTTGATATTGTGACCGACCGCTAACCTCAGCATAGACGTTGTAACCAGGTAATGCCGCAATCAGCGCCGCCCTCTTGTGGAACGGATCCATGTTTGACTCTTTGATTCTTGCTTTTGTTCCCAATCCCCCCCCCCCCTTTTTCAGCACGTTTTGTCCTTTCTGCACCGCTCTGTGATATTTGCACACCTAATTGCCTGAAGGAGTTTCCGTGGAAACAGACATCATTCAGTCGCTGACAGAGACAAAGAGAGTGAAGGGAGTGAGGGAAGACAAAATAAAGAGAGACAGTATGTTCAGTGATTGAGCTGTGGAGGCAGTGGGCTCTGTTAATAAGCCCGCCTACTAGTTCCTGACTGACTCCAGCTCATCAGATTTGGCTGTTTCTCATCCAACAGCAAATCTAACCACACAAATGAGAGAACGGGGTGACCACAGACAAGTAGACGTTTGGATTATGTTAAGCATTATTATTCACAGAGCTTAAAATTCAGGTCTTGACTTACATTGTGTTCACTGTGTGTTCCCATATGTGTTTGTGGCAACCTTTAAGAGCATGTTGTGTTTCAAGACCCTGATTTTACACTGGACGTCGAGTGGTGGTGACTTGGCATAAAAGCAAACATTGTGGATTTTTTTCCCCAGGTTTTTGAGGATAAGGGCATGTGTGTGCATATATATGGCTATCCTCACCAATGCGCCAATGCAAACCCTTTTTTGGCATTTAAAAAACCTACTGTCAGGATTTACTGAAGACATGCAGTGAAAAATTGGTAACCTTATTGCACATGCATTTGTAGGAGTCTCCCTTTAGAACTCAAAATGGGAGGAGAGTATTTAAATGAATCATGCAAAGTGATTTACTAAGGTTTGCGCTAGTCAATTTACTGGTTTTTTTTGCGCCATTATTTACCGCCCCCCAAATAAACCAGACGCTAATTTTTGCTGCCCTTGGTAGATTGCGTTGGTCATTATGGAAATGATCTGGCTGCATATGTTGTCGTTAATTTGCACGTCGTCAGTAGATCACGCGCAGAACTTTCCACTCCATTTTTTTTTTACAATTTTTTTTTTACTTCTTTAAAACATGGATTTTAAAAATCCTTTAAACATGAAAAATTTACTCGAGAACCAAAATTGCATGACATTTGTGAGATATGTAAATATTTTTACTTGTTATGGATGTATATATTTATGTATGCATATTTATACAAGTGTGATTTGTCTTAAGATTGATGACTCAGGGCTGTATGCAACATTTTTTTCACAAATGGTTTCTAGAATTAGAGCTCACAGCCTCTCCCCCACCCACTCTTAGAATAGATGTTATTTTACATAAAAAAATTGCAATATCAGTTTTAACTTGGAAGTAATGTTTTAAAGTCCAATTTTATTCCACCAGGTCACTTTAACAGTGTGCATCTCTCTCTCTCTCTCTCTCTCTCTCTCTCTCTCTCTCTCTCTCTCTCTCTCTCTCTCTCTCTCACTGCCTTTATTTTTGCTCTGATCTATCGATTCTCTCTCTGCCTCCTCAGTCCTCTTGTGCTATATGATCTAAAATCCATGGGAGCTTTTTCTGTACAGCCATCATGCACTCCTTTGTATATCATGCACACTTTCTGTCTGGACCACTATCGTCAAAGATGATTGACAATTAGCATACAGTTTGGATTGGCGGTATGGTTCTGTTCTGGGCGAGAACTCCCTGCGCATCCATGCAGCCTAGCATGGATAAGAGCAGGGAGAGCAGCGATAACCCCCCTTAGGAGGTTACTGAAGGAGCATATATATATATATATATATATATATATATATATGGATGCAGTGATAGGTGTCGTATTCCTATAGGTAGACGTGGATCAGCTGAGAGTCAGCTGGTGCGAGCTTGACTAACGTGACCTGCCAGAACTGATGCTACGCTTGATTTCTGTTTGCTTTGCATGTACAAGCCATAGTGACTACAATTTATCTGTATTGTCAATTGCAAAGAAACCCTAATAGTCATTCCTGAACTGAACCTGTTGTTTAGCTGGACCACAGTGTGATAAATGCTGCCAACTGGAAAGTGCTCTTGAGCAGAGCTGGTGCCATGGTGGGGTATGGCAATGGTTCAAATGCTGAGAGATGGTTTATTCTAATGATGGCTTCATTATCTATCTATCTACCTTCACCTACTTATGCAATGTCTTTATTTATCTACAGAGCTCTTAGTAAAGTTTGACTGCCTTTCTGAAAAAGAGCAGCCTAAGCTGGTTTGCTGATCTTAGCTGATCTCTCACTCTTGCCAGACTGAACATTTGGGGTTGAGGCACCTTTCAGCTGATCAAGCTGGGAGACCTTGCAGCGAATTTGTAGCACCGTCACATGATCCTTCAGAAATCATTATATTGGACTGATTTAGAGCTCAAGAAACATTTCTTATTATTATCCATGTTGAAAACAGTCATGCTGTTTAACATTTTTGTGGAAACCACAAACATTTTTTTTTCATTCTCTGATGTATGAAAGGGTCAAAATGACAGCACTTATTTGAAATAAAAACCTTATATAAACGTATAAAAGACTGACACTTTTGATCAATTTAATGTATCCTTGCTGAATAAAAGTACTAATTTACATAATATACACTGGCCTAATAATAATACTAAATTGTATTTAATTTAAAATCTTTAAATTTTAAAAGGTTTTGTATGAGGTTTAGGGTTAGGGCATAGAAAATCACTTGCTTAGTATAAAACAATAAAAGTCAATGGGAAGTCCTCACTATGATAGAAAGAGAGTGTGTGTGTGTTCCCAAACAGTACAACATGCTTGCCAGCGGGAGCATTATATTTGCACACATAAATTAGCAACTATCAGCATATGTAAATGTGGGTGATTGGCTGAATCTGTGGCGGTGGGTTACGTGTCTGTCTTTGTGCGTTCGAGAGACAGGCGATGACTGTAGGCGATGTCTCTCTCATCATTCCACTCAGGCTTGTTTACCCAACCGCAACAAGATGATGTTTGACACCGTGTGATGCCGAGAGAGAATTTCGCTTTGAAAGCAGGGCCTCTAATGTTACGCTCGCTCTCCGGCTTTGATGTGTTAAATGAAATGCCTCATCCTGAGTAGCACATTAAAGGAACTCACCTCCTCAGATTAAGATGACGCGCAAATCACATATCAATTAAAGCGACTGCTCGGGGCTCAGCGCTGTGATGACATGGCCATCAGTCACTCATACATGAGGGGTGGGAAAACTTATGGATGTGATGATATGAAGAGGGGTAAACGTGAGAGATGTGAGCGCATACACGGAGAGAGTAATATAGACTAGATGAGAGACACGATGTGTTAAAATGAATCAATGAAATGAATGAATCACGATGTCCACGTCCTCACGACACGTGTTAGCAGTTGTGCTCATGAGGACACCGGATCTCTGTCTTTTATATCTTTCTTATCTGTATCCTTCTTTATACTGTCCTGTAGAATCCAAGCGAAAAGCCCAAAATATGAATAGATAAGTAAAAGGAAATGAAAGTGTTTTGTGCCACGATATAACAAGCAAATAATACAAAACACTTAGGAAGACACTTTGTTTAACATATTCACATTTATTCACAATCGTCTTAAAATGTCATTGGAAGAAATATGGAGTCAGGTAAGACAGGATTTATGCTCCTCAGTATTCTACGATTGCCCCTCATCGCATTATGTAAGATGTTGTAAAATATCGTCTTTGAGTTTGCCCTGCCTTACGAGTTTCCTTATTGATATTCTATAACCCTTAACTTAAAATCTTAAAAAAGTAAATATTTACAATAATATTTTTAATTTAACCACACTGACTCACATTAAGTTTTAAATAACAATGTTTAAGTGAAAATGTGGGTAGTTGACATGAAGTAATTTTGGTAAAATGATGATGATGTTGTTGATCATTAACTTTTTTGAACATTTCATATATACTCTCGTAACTCTACGATACACTATACAATAAGGTCTTGGTTTTTTAACATTAGTTAATGAATTAACTAAATTGAACTAAAAAAGGCAATATATTCTTACATAATTGATTAATCTTTGATCATATTTGTTAATAAAAATGTTCATGTTAGTTCACAGCACAATTTTTTATCTTAAAAAGTTTTTTAGTCAATGTTGAGATTCACATTAAGATTAATACAAGCTGTAAAAGTATTGTTAATTGTTAGTTCATGTTAACTAATGTAGTTAACTTATGTTAACATATGAAACCTTATTGTAAAGTGTTACCGATATATTAAATGAAATATTTGTACTTTTAATAATCCATTTGTCACACCACAGGACCACTTAAAATTAACTTCAAAAAAGGTCAAATGAAATCAAAAAAGCTGTTTAAAAATGGTGAAAAACTGGATGAAATGGTAACGTAAAATGAAATGAGAACAAAATGAAAAGAAATGGTAGCAGTTGTGCAGACATACATTTATATATATATATATATATATATTCATGAAGCACATAATAACAGTTAATTGCGAAACAATAGTAATGCCGTGTAACATTGTTTGGCAGAAGTTAGCCATGGTAAACTAATTTCAGTAGAGTATCGTTCACATGCAGACCACCTTGTCGACTGTGATTTGGAACTACATCCAGCCCTCGATAGTTTTCGATCCAGCCCCCTCTATCTTGCATCTCTAGTATCCTCTCTTTCATTTCCCTCTCCCTTCTGCTCCATTCCTCCTCCAGCCTGCAGTACATGTGTAGGGAGAAGTGCCATCCCCCGTTCTCCATCAGTATGTCTTCCGCACGGTCCAGCAGACCAGAGACCTGCTGTCTGTCCTGGGGGTTCCTGTTGTTAAGAACGTGGTACCTATACCTGCACCTCTCCAGCAGCCATTGGAGATCCTTTCCGGACGTCTGGATGTAGTCCTGCATGCTGCAGTCTCGCAGACGGTCGCCCAGCGTGAACACAACCATGGTGTGGCGCCACACGCCCTCTGTGAGGATCTCCATGCGTTTCTGTATGTCTGCTTTCTCGGAGTGGCTGAAGTTCAGTAAGGGAATGACAAGGAGTAGAACGTGGGGTCCGGGCTCACACAGCGATAAGGCGTTAAACAGCTCCAGTTTCTCCTGTTTAGGGACGAGCTTCTCGTTTGTGCCCCATCCACTGGCATCCACGACCATCAGGTGTCGGCCTTCAGATTCACTGTGTGCTACAGCGCTGGCCGCTCCACCCCATGTATCGAATGCATCCTTACCCAGGAGTGTGTTGCCCACTGAACTCCTTCCGGTCCGCTTCTGCCCCACGATTAGCAGCCTCAGAGGTGGGGCACCATGACTAGGGCCTGTTAGAAGACATTTGTTGGACGACAAATTAGATTTTAAAGAGGAAAAGACCATTTTTTGCAATGTTGAAAAGCAGACTCTTACAAAACAAGGGTAAAAAAAATTGTATTTTAGTGCATATTTACACAGGAAAGCAATTTTAAAAAAACATGACAGATTGACAAATCCTGTGTAAACTATTTTAACTTTATTTTCTGTTTTTAACTGCATTTTCAGTTTATACTGGTTTGCAACTACTAAATAAAAATATTTAGCTCAAATTAAGTAGTATTTGGGCCATTCGAGTTTTGCACAGCCAATCTATACGTACTGTAAATATATATATATATATATATATATATATATATATTAAATAAAATAGAAGAAAATATATATTTTGAAAAATTGTCCAGACCCAACAGTCTTACCTTTATTGTTCACATTCGCGTTGTCCATTAATCCTGTTTTCCAGTGTTTTTCAATACACGTGTAATGCAGTCCAAGCCCATCTGACTGACAGATAGTCGCAAACCATATGTGCAGGTTAGCACTGATCTGGTCACTTACAGTACATGAGAAGGGAGTGACCATAATTCTCCTCCCACTTCTGGTTTCATGATTACAAATAAGCTTTTTTTAGCTCCTCTCACCCTTGGCAGTAGAGTTTATTGTTTCCACTCTAAGCTATAAATGTAAAGAAGACATGATATAAACTAAAGAAATGTTTTACTTACCATTATTATTACAGTGTCATACAAAGCAGGAAAAACTGAGTGCTGTTTTTATCAAGTGACTGAAAGTGAAGTGGTTGTTTTGGTTATAAAGTCACATGGCTGATATCAAGGCCACAAGTAATGTGCCAAAACGTGACTGAAACAACTTCTCTCTCCAGTCATGAGAGATCATTTTTTGTTCTGCTGGTGTGTCATGATGAATAAGACTTTTTTTGTGCAAATTGCTGTGGCATTCAATTGATTGGGACAATTTATGTAAGAATGGATTTGTGAAGGATTTACACAGGAATTCATTCTGCTCATGTTTCTTTAACAAGGTCCGGTGTGTGAAATCTCACAGCTAGAATATTTTATCTTCACTTCCAGCACATTCAGTAAAAGTAATAATAAATGCAATATATTACATTTGGGTGTAAATGTTAAATGATGTGGAAAAACATGACAGGTTGCCATTGTACTCTGTCCTATAATAGAGCAGACTGTTGTTTTACTCGCTCTGTGTGGCTTTTATTCTTAATTATTAATAGATCGCTATGACAGTCACATACTTTTCCAAATGTAGGTGTGTAATAATAGTCTATTGATTGTTAATTAATGATATTATATGATACACAATTTTAGGTTAGTTTTTATGAATGTATAAAGGTAAGCGTATTGTAGCGTGTTGTAGCTGATCACCATTTTTTTTTTCTTTTTTTTACGTTTTTTCAATATTTTAATCACCTTCATTTTGCAGTTCCCAAAGTCCAGCACCCTGTGGTGTGACAACTGAATTTTTAAAAGTGCAATATTCCATGTCTCTAAATTAAAAAAATGTGGTTTAAGAGTTTTACTGTAGATCAAGTATTGCCAAGTAATACAATATTCATGAGAAATGTGAAATGTACCCCAAAAATCGAAATTTAAAATGTAATTGAAAAAGTAATTGACAAATCCATATAAATGTAAATACCTAATTTAAATGCAATACTTGGATCAAATACTTGCTGATTATAATCGCAATACGCAAGTATGTAAACACTTTAATCGCATCTATTTCACTCTGACCAAAGTGCGCATGTGCTTGCAACCTACACTGATGTCGTCATGCACATATTCGTAAAAATAGCGGTAAAGACGGCATCGCATTTTTGGGGTGGTGAAGAGAATGAGTTGATGTTAACAACGTTGCTCGAGTATGTTGATGGTCAAATACATAAAAAAATAAATAAATACATTTAGGGGAGTAACCGGAAAAATCCAATACGTCCAAAGAAATGTGTTTTGCATTTGACACAAGTAGATTAAACAGTGGCCAGTAAAACACTCTATGTGAGATCATTATTTGTGCTGTTCATTGGGGTATATGAATGATAAAATAACCACAGTTCTTCCAAATGATCAGAATAATGAGAATTGCATGTAAACGGGAGTGAATAGGTTTGCTCATGTCATACTGCTATTAAGTCCTTACTCTGATTATTGGAAACAATCACGTTATTTGGGCACATGACATGCAACCTCTTTTACATCTGTTTGTCTGCATGCAATTGTGCTTTACCGTTGAAGTCATTGGCATAAAGGAACTAGAAGTAACAGCTTGCAACCACATATTTGTGTGCAGTAACTATTACCAAGAACCGTACGTGTAATCATATGTTATAGTTGTGTTTTACAACCTTGTTGTGTTTTCAGAATTCATTTAACACATATTTCCGCTCTATGAGAATGTTTTCTCACTAGTAGCTGGTAAATGATTAGCTAACGGTCACCCTGTCTGGATGTAAGAAAACGTGTCTTTTTTTATTTTTAAAATGTGTTTTATGGTGTTTTGTTCGTCTACTCACTTCCCTGTTTCTTATAGTCACTTGCCTCACAGTACTTATTTAAATTTACCCTAAAGGAGGATCTGCACACCACGTGAAAGGCAAAGACTGAAGTGAACTTTAAACAGAGGCCTGGCGGAGGAGCGATGGCATCTGAGTTTGAATGACTCACATCTTTAGGAGGGAAAAATCTTTTTGGTTTGAGCTGAGGAGAGAACAGATGAAAAGAGGATATGAGAGGAATAAGGAAGGAATATCTGTGGGCTGTATGAGCCAAGACACATGGCATTTATTTCCCAGCTTGCAGTGTTCTCACTTTGCACTCTCTTTGGAGAGTTTTTTTCTACGGTATGATAAACTTTGAAGGAGTGCTGCTTTTTTGCAGTGCTGAAGTGTTGCTCTACCCTATACAGCTGCGTGTTTGAAAGTGAGACATTTAACCTTTAAGTATTTGAAAGTCTTCATTTCAGAGGGAAGAATTCATTTTGCACCCACCATTAACAGGGCATATTTTTTGATATGCATATGTTTTAGCACAGATGAATTATGCAAATTGCATAAAGGTACAAACACTCCACCAAAATTTCGAACTGAAAGCAATTTGCATGCAGCAGTTTACTTTGTAAATAAGACACTTAAATAAAATGCCAAAGTAGCCTAGTGCAATATAGTAAATTTGGCCCGGACTGTTTTGCCAGTTCCTCTCCTGAGCCTCCTCTTGTGTGCATCAGGAGGACTTGACTTGTTGATCTGTCCCCTTCATGTAATCTTGCCTACATCTGGCTATAAGTTTTCTATTTCTCAGTATGTCCCGACATATTTATTTATTCTTGGCTATATGCTGGTGCAGTGTCTTGAGTTTCACGTCTTTGTGTTATTACTACATGGGGACCCAAATATGAAGCAGCATATTATCCTCTTCAAAAACAATATGGCTCACACAGTCACATACTCCTTGTGTTCCAGAAACATACTCGCGTATAAACACACACTGTCCTGTTTTGCGTCAGATCTCTGTGTTTCAGCGCAGTTTCCTGGATACCTCCCCAGACTGTTAACATCTGGTTTTTAAATCCGGGAGGTGATCAGATCATGAGGGTCCACAGGATCCAAAATGTTCGCATTTGTAATGTAAACTCTAATGGGTTCTGATGCATCCCGGACAGCAGTAAAGAAAAGCACCACCGTGCCAAAACAAGCACTTTAGACTTTGCTTGCTCTCTATGGCTTTAACAATAAGTACACGTTTTGCACTGTATTTTTAACATGCAGTGACACACTGACTTAGTAAGTCATAGATGCAGTCACAGCATCTGATGACAAAGTGCATACCAGGTTTAAGCGGCTCAATTGACCACTAATAATCAAGTCAGACATAAATGTTAATACAACATGGCCTTTTTGAAGCGTCTCTTCCCTAATGGTACTCCCTCCTGCGGGCATCATCACTTTCTATAAATAGACTTGTATTCAATGTATGCATTTGTCATAAACTGTCATACCAGGTGCATTACTATGGCAAGGTCACAGATAGCAGCTGCATACAGAGCTCCACTAGTGTGGTTAGAAACAAGATTTAATGCGTAAGCCATTTGTCACTGTGAATGCCACTAAATGTCAAGGTGGTAAGCGCTTGACAGCTTGTATGGGTTTTGTACAGGTTTGCTGCTTCATTTATTGTGTCTAATACTGCACAGGCCTTCTCTGCCAGTACCGGCGGGCTTTTGCTGATTGCTGCGTTATTTGGTCTAATGCATCTGTGTACTTTATGCATTTCAGAACTTAGTGAGGTTAATAGGCAGCTGACTTTTAAGGGAACATCCTAAGCTTCATGGCACCTATTAAGTGGGTGATTTGGAGTGCTTTGTATAGGGAGCAACTTTATGCCAGTGTTATTTTAGTATTATTTATATACTTATACTTATTTATATTTATAACTAGCTTTTATTTTTAGATTTTTAAGTTTGAGTCATTTTCTGATGTGCTTTTTTAATGTGCTTTTTTATTATTTCTATTTAGCTTTTTATTTATTTCACTTTTAATGGGTGTTTACACGACTTGGAAAACTATGCATTTTGGCCATTCATTTACACAGCAACGGCATTTTGGGGCCCTGTAAACGCAAACCTTTGAAAATGGGTTTCAAAGTTTTATTCGTCAAAAGAATTAATTACGTTAGCTTCCTTCTTAAAGGATATATACAGTGCTGTCTTATAATTTGGCTTAATCTAATATTCTTAATTATCTTAAAAGACAGCATAATTACGTTTTGGAGCAGAATATGAGTCATGAGTGTACACAATGTGATGTTATGGTTGTTTTCTGCTTTTTATGTTAAGCATAAAGCAATAAAACTTTGGTCTTCATTGTAGTTTTATATAGTTTTATTGATAAATAAGACTTCAGACTATGATGCTTACAAATGCAACGTAGGCAGTTCACTAGATTTTGAGACAGACCAATAGTCAAAATGCAGACTAACTGTTAGAGTTGTGCTCTAACACTAATTAGCTTAATTTGTCAAGTGCTCGCCAAAGTTTGCTTTCTAGTGAGGTCAAAACATGCTTGCAATTTGAACTTTAAACTTTCATTTGTGTATTATCTTGGTTTGGCTAGTCTCTTAATGGTGATCCTTAAAAAGTATTTGAACAGTGCAGATGTCAACAGCATGGCTCAGCAAATGAGGCATATGAGGGCTTGGGTGATCGTCCATCTCAGCCGGAGCCATTCCCGCACTGAGGCTCACATGGGCCTTTGTGTGTACCGACCATATAAAACATGCATTAGTGCTGCATAATGCATGATTCTGCAAAACTCTGCCCATTCTCTCATGGTCCAAAGTCATTGCTATTGTGCGATGTTGCTTATTGGGTTCAGAAAAGGAAGCAAGTGAAGCGTTCAGTACAAAGTGGAAGAATCCACCCATAACTTTAGTTATTTTAGTATTGATCTGATTTTAATGCTTTAAAGATTTTCTCCCTTGGTATTTGATGAACAATGTTT